TGGCTACATTTGTATACATTCTTTTTCTGATCACAATCATGCTGCTAAAGGATACCTTCACTCGTCGAACTACTGTTTAGAAAACATTTATTTATCCTCTAGCTTTCGTGTCGCCGACAACATCAGGAAAGTCACTCTCAGTCACTCTAAGTCACTCTCCTGATGATGTCCGACCGACGAAAGTAGAGATAAATAAAAGTTTTCTAAACAGTAGCGTATGGGCCAGACTTTCTTTCTGCACAACACGATGCTAGTGAAGGACAACTTCACTACTTTGAAATTCTATTTTGTGTATTGTTCAGCTCACAGGGTTAGACGAATATATACGCGGCCTGCAAGGATCTCTGACTTTCTTTGTCCCAGTTGACAGTGCCTTCCAGTTTGATCAACTGACATCAGATTTTCTGACTAAAACCAACAAGGTAAAGATGCATGGACGGTAATTGAGAGGGACTTAGGGGTGTGTTGGAATCCGCCATGGAAATTTGATCAAATCCTCAAGAAAATCCGCTAAAATTGACCAGTTTCTTCAAATCCACCATTGAAAATATCAAAATTCCGAAAATCTGTACTAAAAGTAGCCCATTCCCCTGATCTGAGAAAACCTCTATAGTTACCCTATTTCATTATGACGTCACAGTATGTTTACATCGGAAAATGATGCTCAAAAACAGTGGAAATTTGGACCCATTTATATTGGTTCCTAAAGTAGAACTTCAATGTGTCGTGTTTTGATATATGTCATTTATAAACTGATAACTCATCTACATTATTTGATATGCAGTCACTCTGATCACCTCTGGTGACCATATTCCTTAGCGTTAAAACAATAGAATGTTTTGATTCGATGTCATGACGAACAAGGGCAATGGAGCATTAATGTGCTCATGGAATGTTTGTTTATTATTTTGCTTGCAATGACGTTTCCATTACTTTGCAGGGAAAAGAGAAACTTCGTTCAATTCTGAAGAATCATATTGTTTCCAAGAAGGTACTGTGAAAAAAAGCATTTTGAAATTGTAATGAATGGAATGATAAAGTTGTTTAACTTTCACTCTCCTCAGTTTGATATTACAGATTTGATATCACTGTCAAGACTGAAATCAGATGAAGGCGAATCAAACACTATCAAACGAAGTAGAAACGTAAGTTTACATGAAACTCCAGTTGTAAATAATGTTAAAGTATATGTGATTGAACTCCAAGTCTCAGACTAGATTGTCACACTGTGTTTGCCCTGCATTTCACTTAAATTTCATTTTGAAGAAGTGTCATTTTTTGAATTTAGGCCTTGTGTATGTGCATGAGATTCTTTGGGTTGGCTCTAGGTTGTAGAAATGATTGAAACTATCGGGCAAACTAGCAACGTCGGTGTTTCTAAAGAAACAGTTGTGCAAAACGACAGGAGCCCATTACTCCTGAAAACGATAAATTTCAACACCGTAAAAAAATAGGTGAAACAACTAACTGACGTTTCGGACGTTAATCCTTCGTCGGGGTAAACATGGTTAAGAGTTATAGTCCATGAGCCGAGGCCCCAAAAATGAATTTTCGTAGCACCCCCCTGGAGACATAGTGAAACTGGTATCAAATGAAAGCTCATTATGTATATTTTCGAAATTCACTTGTTACTTTTTATGTAACCTGTGCTTGACAGAGATATACGAACAAATCCGAGGGGGGTGGGGTAAGTAAATATTTGCATTGAAGAACTGACCCCTTCACAAAGAGAAAGTATATCTTTGCAAAACGAGCTTCAATA